GGATTGCCAATGAGTGGGATAGGGATGGGATGCAGTTATCTGAGAGGGAGGTGGGGGCAGAAGGAGGAGAGGTTGAGAGGTCAGAGTGGGAGGTAGAGTGCAGAAGCAGACTGGGAGTAGGGTGTCTGGCCAGTGGCAGGGAGCAGGAGCAAGGGAGGGTCCAGTGTGTGGCAAGGAGGGAGGGTACAGGAGCAAAGGTAGATGTAGAAGCAGGATGGGGGTAGAGTATCTGGGTAAGGGGGAGTGTGCAGGAGTGGATTGGGGGTAGGATGTCTGGCTAGGAGGGAGGGTGCTGAGTTGGCCAGAAGGAAGGGTGCAGGAGAGGACTGGAAGTAGTGTGTCTGACCAGAAGGGAGGGTATCTGGCCAGGAGAGAGGGTGCAAGAGGGGACTTGGAGTAGGGTTGAACCTTCCTGGTCCAGCACCCTGGGGACCTGACTGGTCCCGGATGATGGATTTTTTTAGTCCAGGGGAGGTCATTTCAGTCCCCTTGCTGCTGCTCCTGTCACTGGGCTTCCTGGCTCCCCCTACTGCCATAGCCCAGCTGAGCCATGCACAGCCCAGCTGAGCCATGCACCAGTTCCCCGCACATCCATACCCACACCCAGTTGTACCGCACGCTGGTTTCCTGTACCTCACCCCTTTCCCCCGCAGCCCAGCTGAACTGTGCATTGGTTCCTCTCACACGCCCCCTCGCAGCTCAGCTGAAATGCATGTCAGTCCCCACACCTCCCGTCCCTGGCAGCCCAGCTGAACGGTGCACTGGTTCCTTGCAGCCGCCCCCTCTCCTTCTAGCCGCTCACTTGCTTTCGTCCGCTCCCAAAAGGCAATGCCTCCCACTGCTCCTATTGGTGGATTCCCAAGCAGCAGGGAAAGGCTCCAGGAAATGTCCCAGGCTCCTTATTCCCCCAGCAGAGGGCGGGGGAGGGGAATCAGCAGAGCACAGCCACTTCTACCTGTGTTCAGACCCTCAGGGCTTTTCAGGATATTTCACTGCTGCATGGGGACACCAGGACAGGAGATTTAAAATCAGGACTGTCCTGGAAAATTCAGGATGGGTGGTCAGTGTATAGTTGGGAAATTGGGAAAACTTCTCCTCCCTGTCAATAGCCCCCTCCTCAGCCAATCAGCATTGAGACTGTGAAAAATGGGAGGCTGAGAGGTCTCAAAGGATGGCCCAGGTCACAGGAGGTGAGCAGTGTCAGATCATTTCAGCCCCACCTCTTTGGGATGGCCTCCTACAAAGCCATCACATCTGCCCCTGCCTTGCATTTCTGTCCTCCCTGGCTGATATTAGTATCTCTCTGTGAGATCACTACCACTTCACCACCTTTCCCCAAAAGGCTGAAGTCCTGCAACAGGCCATTGTGGTGTCACTGCCACACCCACTCCTTCACTACAAGGCTGATATCCTGCCCCTAGCCAGTTTCTTGGGACACATTGACTGATCAAAATACATGAGCTACAGACAAACAATTACTCATAGTCAGTGTTCAGCAAGTATTTGAGAAGAACTAGCACATTAGAGAGAATCAGGAACTACAATAGACAATAAGGGTATGTCTAGAATATATCCCTCTGTCACCAGAGGGATGTAAATTAGACATACCGAAATTGCTAACGAAGCAGGGATTTAAATCTTCTGCGCTTCATTAACATAAAAATGGCCACCGCTTTTTGTCGCCATGGATCTTTGGTGACAAAAAGCGGCAGTCTAGCCTCGGTTCTATCGCTCACTAGAGCCTTTGGTGACAGATCCCTTCTGTTTCTCCTTTCCAAACTAAACAAGCCCAATTCGTTCAGTCTTCCTTCGTTGGTTATGTCCTCTAGACCTTTAATCGTTCTTGTTGCTCTTCTCTGGACCTTCTCCAATTTCTCCACATTTTTCTTGAATTGTGGTGCCCAGAACTGGACACAGTACTCCAACTGAGGCCTAATCAGCGCACAGTAGAGTGGAAGAATGACTTCTCGTGTCTTGCTCACAACATACCTGTTAATGCTTCCCAGAATCAATGTTTGGTTTTTTTGCAACAGCATCACACTGTTGACTCATATTTAACTTGTAGTCCACTATGACCCCTAGATCCCTTTCTCCTCCATAGATAGTCACTTCCCATTCTGTATGTGAGAGGCTGATTGTTCCTTCCTAAGTGGAGTTGCTCCACATGATTGCTTGTGATTTATTTGTTTGGTCTTAAAGAGAACAGAAGGAGCTGAGTCATTCCTGTGAATAGCAACCTGCTTGGCCAATCAGCATTGAAATTCTGAGAGCTGGGAGATGGAAGGATCTCAGTAGAAGTCCAAAAGGATAGCTCAGGTCTCCACCAAAGGGAATCAGATTCTGAGCACTCCTCCAGCCCACACAGTCACAACAACCCCACACCTGATACATACACACCTGTCCTTAGTGGAGACAAGGAGGAATAGAAAAGCGGGGAAAGAAGCAAAAGAAGAAGAAAAGAGGGAGGGAAGGGAGAAAGGGGGGAAACTAATGTACCAATGATTCTAAAGCACAAAGTCCTTGGTAGGAAATCAAGTCACTCTAGCCTAGTGATTTCCAGGGGCGGTGGGTATAAGAGGCAGTGGAAAACATTGCCTTTGCCCCACTCAGACTCCGCCCCCAGAACATCTACTATAGGCATATTGAGGGTAGAGTATTGCTGCCCTGGAACAACTGCCCTCCTCATGCTCCAGGCTCGGGGAAGCTGGGGCTACATGCCAGGTCAGGAAAGAAACTTGGCTCTCATGGGAGAAGGGCCTGGGTTGAGGATTGGGGCTGGGAGCTTTCCTCCCCAAACTCTGCCTTCACCCACTGCCCATGGTGATTCCTATGCCTAAAATTCAGACAGCACCAGGTGGATCAAACTGAACAGGTTCCATACATCTGTGAGGCTCTTACATTCTAAACAGGGACGACAACATCAGTAGTAGAAAGGGAGAAAACTCTGAGTAGGTTTTTCCTCATGCCCACATACATTAATCCTAATTCTTTCTCAGTCCATAGGGAGAGACCTTGAGAAGGAGCTCTGCTGTTGCAAAGCCACAGGAGTCTCCTGCCTTGCACCTCTGTCCTGATGGGCTGATGTCAGGGTTTTTTATGAGGTCACCATCTCCCCACCCCTGTCACCCAATAGACTGAGGTCGTGCAACATGCCTTTGTAATGTCATTGCTACACCCACTCTTCCCTTGTAAGGCTGGTGTCCTCATCATGGCCAGCCTCTTTGGATACTGGAATGGCTTCCCCTGGATAATCCCACTTAATGACAGCTGAATCTGGGGATCAAGCTGGCTGCATAGTAACTCCCAGGGGAAAGTCGCAGCCTCAGCCAGCTCCACTCCCACTGGGCTCAGGGGAATGGATCACAGCAGGCTGCTGGGTTGCTACAATTCCCACTACCAAAGTGAGTGCAGGGCTCCAACCTGTGCTACCACCCTATACCAGGCACCGTGGTAATTCCCTGGATTGTGTCACTTGTAACTGCCCTGTAACATATGGGCTAATGCACCGCTGCCTTCTGCAGGATGCATTTGGAACTGCTTGACTGTGTGTCAAAGACCTCAGACTGTAACCAACAACTGGGGATTCTCCTTTAGCATATGTTGAAAACACCTGGGATTTTTTGTGTCAAGTGTCTCAATTCAAGGTATGCTGTTATCATGAATTCTTTAGTGGCTATGCTGGGCAGGATGGTGACAACTGATACTCTTGCTCAATCTGCTTGCCTTTGGCGCTTGCAAGTCCCTTCTCCCATAAAAGTTGGGTTTGGGGCCCCAGCCTGCTCATTTGCTTGAAGCCTGAGGCTGGAGCATGCAGCTGCTACATTAAGAAACGTGATGTTTAAATCATGCTTGCTCCTGGTCTCATATATCACTGATGCCCTGCAGCACCCTCATTCCCAGGGAGTGATCTCTGCCCAGCAAAGTTTATAATCTAGGTGTAAATGCAGCTGGAGACTGGGCATTTTTACCATCAGTTTGTCTAGACCTGCCTCTAGTCTGATTAGACAACACAGAGGTGAAAACGGGAGTGAGGCTGAATTGCAGACACACCAGAGAATCAGAGACACAGCATAGTAGGTGCTGAACAAACATAAAAAAACTGACTCTGCCCTCAAAAAGCATACAAAATTTAGTGGAAGCGATCCATGCAGTTCCTGGGAATGCCTGCCAAGCCACTTGCTGAAATCCTATGTGCTTGAGAGCTGATCTCCAGGGTATGAGAGGTGAAAGGATGACATAGCCCTTCTGTTTCCATGTTCCTTATCCCCGTCCCTTTAATTATTTGGTAATAAAACTCAGGACTCTTTTCACTATCAACTAGCTTCTATGTTGTGATGCTCTCTGTGAGCAGATCCTGAGGACAATCAGACGAGTGGGGGTGCACTGTTCCTTTGGGGACAGCAGGCCTGGTAATGCTGTGGATATTCAGTGGAAAAGGGGCTGGATGTGACAAGAGAATCCTTTAAAAGGGCACAGTAACTGGGATGCTTCTGTTTTTACTCTACCTGAACAGAGGAAGGAATTCAACCTCCAAGCCCAAGATCTGGCCTGATGCCCCATTCTGCCAAACTCCCTGCATGACCTAATCCCACCGCTTTCAGATCTATGTAGTAGGGTCAAAACATCCCCATCTCCTGTGTGATTTCAGGTAGATCATTTAGTATTCCAAAGGAGGGGGGGAGGCTCATCTGCACAGCCTTTTTGGGATCCCATTCCCCACTTCCTGCTACACTTGAGATTTGGAACTCGAAAAGATACACAATAGCTTCTCATACAAGGATGCTCTGTGCACACAAATAGAATATACACATTCAGGGGATCATAGAGTTTTGAATTACAAGTTAATAACCTGTTTTGCATAAAGTACATTCAAGCTATGTATATGCATATTCACAACATATTTTCATAAAAATATGGAGGCAAAGTATCATAGTCACATAATCCAGGACTCCAGGAACGGAGGCTTTCAGAAAAGCACCATCCCAAGAAAGACTGCTTACAATATCATTATGGTTGGCAGCCCAGTATCCGCAGTTGCAGGATGAAGGGAAGTGGGGGGAGCAGCAGGTTGGGAATCCTGTGTATCTGGCTGCCCGAAGAAGGTGGATGCACTTTAAAGTTGCCAGGTGCCTCATTCTTAACTGGAAAATCTAGTCAAAATCCGGTGTATCCCCTTCAGGTTACCAGGAATGAAGAGGACATGGGAAGGTGTCAGCATCTCCAGGGCATAGAAACTCCATGTCAGGGACTGTAGCTCCCCATACCTCCCAAACCCTATCTCCTGCCCAGACCCTGCATTCCCACACCCCACCTCCCACCCAGACTCCACCCCCACTCCTGCACTCTACATCCTACCCCAACCCCATGTAACCTACATATCTTCTGGGTGTGGTGTACTCTCCCATCTAGTAGTCTCAGAGGGATAGCCATGATAGTCTAAAACCTAAAAAAAAACCCTGTAACACCTAGACTACTGGCTTCTTTCGCAAGAAGCTTTTTTTTGGAAGAAATCTTCCAAAAAAACTTCTTGCGAAAGTGCACATCCACACACAAAAGCGCATAGAAAAAGCGATGCACTTTTGTGAAAGAGCATCCAGACTGATTGGATGCTCTCTTGCATAAAAGGCCACTCGGAACCACTTCGGGCAAGAGTTTTCGTCACCAGTTGCTTCCGAGTGCTGGTGCCGGAGCCTCGCAGAGACACGCATTTAAAGGGACCCCCCTAGACAGCCATTTCTCTTCTTTTGCTGCGTGCTTGCTACCTCTTCGAGGGACAGCAAAACTCTTGCAGTGCCTGCTGTGGTTGCCCTGTTCTTTTTTGGATGCCACAGCCTTTCCCATGGAGCAGGAGCTGCCCCGGGCTTGCGAGATGGCCCCACACGGCCATGCTGCATTTTTTGCAGCATGTTCTGCTAGCTGCCTTCCTGGTCCTGCACAACCTGGACCCTGAGCTTATTCTGGGGACCTTCTCCATGGCTGCTGCTGCTCCACTCTGGCAACCGCACCACACTATGGAGAGGTGTTTCTGGAGGCTCGACACCAGTTCGGACTGGTAGGACCAGCTGGTCATGGAGCGGTGGAATGATCAGCAGAAGGCCACCTTTTTGGAACTGTGTGCCTGGCTCACCCTCGCCCTCCGGAGACATGACACCCACTTGTGGCCCGCCATCCCCCTGAAGAAGTGGATCACTATCGACCTCTGAAAGCTCACCACCCCTGACAGCTACCAGTCGGTGGGCAACCGGTTAATGTGGGGGAGTCCACCGTCAGGGCTCTCCTCATGGAGGTAAGGAGCTCTCGGGCTGCAATCCCTGTGTGGGGGAGGGAGTCCTGGAAAAGGAGGACCCTCAGGAAAAGGGAAGTTAGGGGGGTGGAGGGTGGAGAGGGAGTGGGGGTGGGAAGCCCTGTCCCTAGGGGTTGTGCCATCCCACCCTCACACAGACCTGCTGCTTGGGGGGTGGACTCTTAGGAGGTGTAGGGGGAGGACATGGTATGGGGGTGAGCACCTCCTAAGGGCTCAGGCCCCCTCTCTTTCTCTGTTTTGTGTGTTTGTTTGTTTCCTTCTGTAGGTTGTGAGGGCCATTAACTCCATCCTGCTGCAGAGGGTCATCCGCCTGGGAGATCTGGACCCCATCATGGCCAGATTTGCTGCCCTGGGGTTCCCAAACTGGTGGAGCCATAGATGGGACCCACATCCCAATCCATTTACCTGAACATCAAGCGGCCCAGTATATCAACTGCAACAGCTACTTTTCTATGGTGCTGCAGGCCCTGGTTGACCACCTTGGACATTTCATGGACATTTTTGTTGGGTGGTCGGGCAAGGCGCACAATGCCCAAATTTTTCAGATCTCCAGGCTCTACGGGAAGCTGAAGGTGGGTACATTCTTTCTCTGCCACGACTTTGCGGTTGGGGACATGCACATGCCATTGTGCATCGTGGTGGACGTGGCCTACCCCCATGCCATGGCTTAAGAAGCCTTATACTGGCACCTGGACCCCAGCAGGGACCAATTTAATGGCGGAGGGTCATCCGTCTGGGAGACCTGGACGTGACCATGGCTGGATTTGCTGCTCTGGAGTTCCCGAACTGCGGGGGAGCAATCGATAGGACCCATATCCCGCTCCGCGCACCGGACCATGAAGCGGCCCAGTATATTAATCAATAGGAGGCCATGGCCTCCTCTGTGAGCAGCAACCAACCGTCTGCAGCCCACAGGAGAGGGATGTCCCAGGTGCAAGGCCATGTGGGGCCTGTACAGCCAGCCCAGTCTACGTGCCACACAGGAATGCATCACATGGTTGCACATGCATGGACCACATCACAATATGCATCCTGAGCAACACTCGCCCCCCACCACCATGCGCTCGTCTCCCCCGCCCTGTGTGTGTGACAAAGTGAGACCACTTACCTGAAGATACCTTCTAGGCATCTGAGGCGGCCTGGGAGATGTCTTGGCTCACAGGAACCAGCTCAAGTGAAAGGGTCACGGTGCTTGTCTTCTCCTACTCCTTTGCTGCAGCCAGCTGGCCCTGGCCCTCCTCCTCCGGGGTGACCTCCAGCCAGACAATGATGGGGAACTTACCCCCTGATGCCGTGGCTTATGAAGCCGTCCACTGGCCACCTGGATCCCAGCACGGACACATCACAATATGCATCCTGAGCAACACTCGCCCCCCACCACCATGCGCTCGTCTCCCCCGCCCTGTGTGTGTGACAAAGTGAGACCACTTACCTCCATAGTACTGCAGGCTCTGGTTGACCACTGTGGACATTTCATGGACATTTTTGTCGCATGGTTGGGCAGGGCACACGATGTCCTCGTGTTTAGGAACTCTAGCCTGTATTGCAGACTGGAAGTGGGCACATTTTCTCCCAACTGTGACCTTGTCATTAGGGACGTGCAGATGCCACTATGCATCATGGGGGACGCAACTTACCCCCTGATGCCGTGGCTTATGAAGCCGTCCACTGGCCACCTGGATCCCAGCACGGACCAATTCAATGCCCACCTGAACTGGGCTCGGATGCAGGTGGAGTGCGCCTTCAGCCACGCATGGTTGGGCAGGGCACACGATGTCCTCGTGTTTAGGAACTCTAGCCTGTATTGCAGACTGGAAGTGGGCACATTTTCTCCCAACTGTGACCTTGTCATTAGGGACGTGCAGATGCCACTATGCATCATGGGGGACGCAACTTACCCCCTGATGCCGTGGCTTATGAAGCCGTCCACTGGCCACCTGGATCCCAGCACGGACCAATTCAATGCCCACCTGAACTGGGCTCGGATGCAGGTGGAGTGCGCCTTCAGCCACCTCAAGGCACGTTTCCGGTGCCTCCTCACCCACCTGGACTTGGGGGAATACAATATCCCCAAGGTGGCAGCGGCATGTTGTGACCTCCACAACACTGTGGAAAGGAAGGGGGAGACTTTCCTCCCAGGGTGGGGGGCAGACACAGGCTGTGAAGGGAAACTCTTCGAGCAGCCATGGACAGCTGCCCTCCACCAGGCCCATCAGGCTGGGGTACGCATCTAGGAGGCCCTGAGGGACAGTTTCTCTCAAGAACCCCAGTAACTCTTCCCAGGGCATCCCCATTAGGGACCTGTGGCTTGCTGACCCATCCCTTTTCCAACACAGCCCCTCCCTTCGCCCTTTCCCTGACCTCTCAATAAAGACACCTGTTTAGTTTTGAACAAAATGAACTCTGTATTGATTTATGGGGGGGCTCCTAACTGAGAGGAGGACTCCTAATTGGGAGAGGAAAGGGGTGGCTCGAGATGCCACCTTGGGTGTGGGGACCTCATCGGGGTTGTGAGGCTCTGGGAAGCACAGGGAGGTAGACAGGAGTGGGGGCTGGAGTGGGGTCAGGGTTGGCAGGAGGGCAGGGGGAGAGGCCCTAGGCATCACTTGGGAAGGGGGCATGGGCATTGCTAGGGGAAGGGGCATGGGCATCACCTGGGAGAGAGAATAGT